ATCAACATCTCCTCCTAGAGTAAGACTTCTTGGGCTGCTCATAAGTAGTATAACTATTGAAATAGCATTGTACCATTTCTCCAGGGAATTGAAAGTGGACTTGTCCAGATCCGACGTAGATGATTGCATTGGTAGTGTTGAGGAATGGTCTTCCAAGGATGATGGATGTTTCTTCTTCTTCTTCTCCCATGTCCAAAACCATGAAGTTGGTAGGGGCATAGTGATCATGTGTTCTTACCATGACATCTTTCGCTATTCCCTCCAGAAATTGGATTGATTGATCTGCCATCTGCAATTACATATATGTAGGGAACAAAAGTTCGTTACCAAATAAGTATTCATACGTTACCTTGGACATTATATTAACACCCGATCTAATATCGTAGAAGGTCTTATGGAATATTCTTTGTCCAATGATACACCGGATCGTGGATACGACTGGATCATCCTTCTTGGTAAGATATGGTGAAGCGAGGAGGTGGTTGTACTTTGATCGGAGTGTGTTTATCATGTTGACTGATTCTTCTGGTGATTGCCTGACTTTGTTCTCCCTTCTTCTCCGATTGTTCTTCTTGTTCACTGTTACCTCTTTGGGCAGGTACGGCATCTATGGATGTCCAGGAGATTACAAGATACGATTCTTGAAAGAAAACTCCTTTTTATCCTTGATTGTAAAGCAGATCTTGGCACTGTTCGCGTAGATAATGGCTTTCGCAGTGCTTAGTAAAGGTCGGCCCAAGATAATCGGTGCCTTTGCATCTCCACCTGTTTCCAAAACCACAAAGTCTATAAGAACATAGGATTGTCCCACTCAAACAAAGGTGTCTTCAAGAACTTTCTTGGGGTAACAGAGTGACTAATCTACAAGCTGAAAACATATATTTATGTACAATAAAGTATCTTCATTAATTTTATCTTAGATTACCTCTGGCATAATGTTGACATTTGCTCCGAAGTCATAAACAACTTCTTGGAATATGTGCGGTCCAATAGCTATGGGGATGACAGGTCTTCCCGGATCACCTTTCTTTTCAGGCAAGGTATAGTCTATCCACCTTCCCGTCGATGGTTGTATACAGTAGTATACTGCATTGTGAATATCAACAAGATTGGTAGTTTCTAGATCCTCCGGTTGCCCCGGAATCTTACCTTTGTCGATCGGAGAAACTGCGGCAACCAGCTGAGCTATTTGTGATTCTATTATTTTATTAAAGCTATGTTGGTTCTTAATGGCAGAGGAGAGGTTATCCATTCTATTATTTATATTTTCTAAAACTCTATCATTGGAAGCTAGTTTTCTAGATAAGCCCTCTATTGTTTTAGCTTGACCAGAAATCAACTCTCTCAAGGGTGATTGATTGAAATTATTGAAATTATTACCTTTAGGGTTACCTTGGTAGTTTGGCCTCTGTTGCTTGCTGATTCCATCCTTGATTTTGTTAAGGACGAAAGTAGTTATTATTGACGAAGTTCACATCCTCATGGGTTTAAGGACAGTTGCTCCATGGAGGCCCAGTGTTTCCACATTCTTCACACGTCATACGGGAATTACGAATGTGCATGACTTTTTGCTTCTCATTAGCTCTATCTTTGAGCTTCTTCATTAGCAGGTCCATCTTGGCAGACATCATGTCTACCTTCTTGAGTTGATGCATACCTCCACCTCTCATGTGGGTCTAAAGATGTTCTTCATTCCAACCTTGGTTGGAGGCCATCTTCTCCACAAGAGCTGTTGCAGCTGGTATAGTGAGTGACAGGAATGCACCTTCAACAGTAGCATCCATAGTCTCATGGGTATTGTTGGTTAACCCAAGGTAGAAAGTCTGCATGAGTAGCCAATTCTTCATCCCATGATGAGGACATTCTGCTATGTAGTCTTGAAAGTGTTCCCATGCCTCAGGGACAGATTCATCATGTTGCTGTTGAAAGCTTGAAATTCTCCCACGTAGAGCATTGCCTGTGGGAAAAAACTTGGCTAGGAAGGCAGTGGAACAGTTATCCCATGTAGTGTTTCTATCTTTGTTGGCATAGAACCATTGCTTCGTCTTCCCCAAGAGTGAGAATGGGAAGAGGCAAAGTAGTATGTCATCTTTGGTCACTCCTTTGATGGTAAAAGTGTTGTAGATCTCCAGAAAATATTGGAGATGGGCACTCGCATCTTCATGTGCCTTTCCATAAAACTGGCTTGTTTGGACCATATTGATGAGAGCTGGTTTGAGCTCAAATCTATTATCTCCAATATCGACTGTTGGTCTAGTACGGATGTTGGTTGTAGTTGGAGCAGAGAATTTGCAGAGAGTCTTGTTAACCATGGCTTCAAATTCTGGTGTTAAGCTTCGCCTTATTTGGTTGTCTTCCGACTCTAAAGCTGAGACTTTTTTGAGTTTGGCTCTAGTTCTCCTGATTAATGCTTCTGGATCTTCAACGTAGTTTGTCGGAAGGTCAAAACCAGTCATACATTACCCTGCATAAGATATAAAAGTAGACAGAACAAGGGTAAGCCTATTTGAGCAGAGGTCAATGGTTTATCTCGATCACATCAATAAGTATAAGTTTATCAATATTCCTTTGTCTAGCTACCTTCCCTGGCAACGGCGCCAGAAATGCTTGTTGGTATTTATTAACTTATCACTTATTTTAGTAGCCACCTAATATATGCCTATATCTTTTAATATTACTTTACCAGGTTGTCATCCCTAGTGATAATGCCGGAGATGCTTGTTGGTACTACTTAGCAATATTACTAGAATAATACTAAGTAGTTCTTTATTATTTTATGTGACTAGGAAGAATATATATGTATATGAATGAAAGGGATCTTCAAGCACACATATAATATACCATTGTAGCACTTCACCCGAGAGTATTTCAGGTATAGTTATTTATATTTTTATCACAGGGAAGGTCTGGCAAGGACATGTATTGATAACTTATGCTATTGATGGAGAAATAAACCATAACCAATATTCTACTCACAACAGGGGTAAGTCAAGAGATAAATGTATATATAAATGGTACATAATAACTAATCATTGATCACTTAGAGTACTCCTTTCTATGGCATTAGCATGGTTAAGTAGAGAATTAGAGGATTAATTTCTAAGTCCTTCTTAATTACAAGTCAAAGCATACATATATTAGTGCAATTATACTTATTAATCATGGCTAAGATCAACTTCATATCTACACATAAGGGATATTATTAAGGAAGATTAAGAACAGAGCTTGTCTTCCTTCGTAACTAGATTCTACTTGTAGACCTATATTCGGGGAGTGGACTACAAAGGACTTAACGGGAGTGTCACATCCGTGATCAACCATATGACCCAGAATATAAGGTGTATCCGCAGGCAAACAACCTATAAGCACCATGCTTACACAATGTCGACCACTCACCCTGTGTATTTTAGAGCGAGCGCTATACGAACTTATGCTTGAACATGACGATAATCTAGCTATGCTAAACATATAATCAAAGTAGACGATGAACATGATAACTAGGAACATAAACGATATGAATAATAATGGCATAACAATTGTAGCAAACATATAAAAGTAATAAAGAGATACAAAAGAGAGGAGGTACAAAGATTATACCAAACCACGCTCTTGACACGATCAGGAATCCGAGCGAAACTTGCTTGCCTTCCTCTAAACCTAGCCTAACTAGCCATGCCCTAGAATATGATGGAGCTCTAAGGATGATTAGGGTTTCTGTCTTCTCAAATGACTTATTGTCTTAGGGGTGGTAAGGGCTGGTATATATAGGCCGTAGCGTCAATCATGAGCCCTCGGATCAAGCTGACTTAAATAAACGGCGTAGATGCAATCCTTAAGGTGGTGGAGAACTAACATAGCAAGGGGGAGGCTGACAGGTGGGGTCCCTGATCTGTCGGCCTAAGGGTGGGACTGCCCGGCCCCACCTAGCGGTCTCTCACCCTCCGCTTCGGTGTGGTGTCCTTTGGAACCTTCTAGAGTTGTTTGTCCTGTAGATAATCGCGATTAAGTCTGACATCTACGTCTACCTTGATGGTTTTCTGGATAAACCCTGCAGAAAATATAGATTCACCAAAACTCGTAGAATTTGTTAGTTTAAACCCCTAAACATTTGTTGGCGATTATTTTCATACCCTTATACAAGTTATATTGACGGTTTATAATGTTTGTTAACTACCGTCAACAGCCATCGACCCATCTCCTCATGTGCGAGAGGGCGATAAGAGGCTAGCAGTAGTACTAGATCATAAGCGGCAAGATTGCAACTTGTATTAAACTATTACCTTTCTACTGTCATTGTTACTTGATGGTTCATCTTTTGCTTTGGTGGATTTGCCACGCCGGCCATCTCCCTAGCTCCGATTTGTAGAGAAGTGACGCTCACCACGTGTTCGACGAATTGCTTCAAAGGTGGTAAAGTTATCTGCATAAAGAAGTGACTCTATCCAAGCCAAATCAACCAACCAAACAATCTAGATGCTAGCTAGGCTTAGATTGTGTAAACAACCAAACAAGTCCATCTTAGCTTACTGGAGACAGCCTTAGGCTAGCCTGGTTTATTTCCTAGCCAGGCTAGAAAGAAGCCAGGTAACCAAACATACCCATATAGACCTTTGCCAACGGTCATGTGTAGTTTGAAGATCTGTGTGCCCAACGGTCTCAATCGTATGAAATGGGATGAAATGTAACCGTTCTGACCAACTGTCACCTTTTTGCTATAGTAAATTAATATATTTTATAATTTAGACACCGGTGAATATAGATGCATCGCTCTATACTTTTTAGGCTTCACTCCCAATAAGCTATCACTACCTGCAGTGTTGGGAGTGATGCCCAAACACTCTCTCTCTACACTTTTGGCATCACTCTCGTAACACACTGTGGAAGGTCTAATGGTTCGGTGTGCAACCGGGTTGGTTTTGATGGTGTGGTCTTGTCATGGCTAGGCTCTGGTTTAGTGATAATGGGCCGGCTTCCGCCAACGGTTTGGTTTTGAAGTCAAAATGGTCTGGATAAGTTTTGGGTGCATAATGGTTTCAACCCTTGGCTCAAACCCGTTTTTGGCTAATGGGCTGAAGCCCACTCACGTAGCCATCGAGGGCGTCGACACCGCCTCCATCCTCGACCTCCAGCTCTACCGCACCCAGGAGGAGGCCCGAAACCCTACCGCCCCCTGCGCCGTCGCGGCTGCTGCTTCCGGTGGGGTGTTCCGCCGCCCAAGGGTACGCTCCGCACCCCGACCTCAGACCTCCTCGGGGCCAAGAGCTCTGGCGTTGAATCCCGTGCCACAAGTATGTTTCGTCAGCTCTTTGTATAGAATTTGCAGTCAGTTGGTGCAGTTGCAGCATGACCATTGTGATTGTAGTTTTGGGTGGAATTGATTAACATGTGGCGTGCCCTTGATTTAGGAATTCGAAGCCCACAAACATAACCATCGCCAGGGGCCTCGCTCGCTTCGGCGCGTCGCAGCAGCGTCCACGGATCTGCCGGCACGTACAACGGCGACGCAAGGCGTACTCCTTGTATCTGCATTTGTAGCGGCACAGCTGCAGTCGCTGTTGTTAGGCAGGTACTGATGCAACTGATGTTACTTTATTACTGATTTACTTGTACAACCACTGCCTAATATTGAATACAGGTACTGAAAATGAGACCTTAACCGTTAAAACAAGATATTTTTTGAACAGTTTAATCAGCATATCTAAATCATACATATGCAGCCTGTTCGGTTGGCTGGTTCGTTTCGTTGCTGGTTCGTGAAGAAGTACTGCTGGCTGGTTTGTGTGAGAGAAAAATACTGTTCCGGATGGAAATTTACGATCGTTTACGACAAGCCACAGCCAAACGAACAAGCCACAGCCAAACGAACAAGATATTCTGTTGCCCTATTGTCCTTATGCACAGGGTGATTACTTGATAGTTGCTAATTTGGACGATTCACATGCTGTCCTTTGCCCTCGGGACAGCAAGGACCGTCTGATCCCCGTCCAGCTCACCACTGACTTGAAGCCAGATCTTTCAAGTGAGCATCCAAACTTCTCATCTCATGGTTATCGGTGCATGCATATGAATACACAGCTTGACTCCATTTTGCATTCCTGCACACTTGCAATAGGTGAACTCACAAGGATTCTGAACTACAAGGGAAGAGTGTTCGCCATAGACGACAAATCAGATATTCCCCTCACTTTTAGTCTGCTGCTGAACTGGATGCAGGTCGGGAATTAAGCTGCTGCAGGCTAGGAGGCTCTGGAGCTGGAAACTCTTTACTGCACTAAGTGGTGCATTCTTTAGTTACATCAGACCTGGTAAAATGGTTCTTGACAAGTGCCACCCTTTTGTATGTTCCTTTATTTGCTGCATAAATGAACTTTTCATAAATTGTTATGATAAAGGTTACATGGTTAGTCAACCTTTGATGAGTATTGTGGCTACTGATATAGAACTTGCGATGCTGTGATTAAGGCTCTGGAGCTGGGATCCCTTTAATGTAGAATTTGCAATGTTGGTCCAATTTGAGAGACTGTTCTGATTCAGGAGTCAGGACCAAAAGTATCTTAGTCAGGGTACCACTTTGATTTGACAGCAATCATAGCAACTGAATTTTTCCATGCTTATGTTCTTGCACTACGTGGAAGTTCTTTCATTTTGTGGCTGCAATCAAATTGTGTTGTGTATGTACAACAGCGAAGAGAGGGGAAAGGGTCTGAGAAAACATTGTGTTGGGATTGGAGAAAACATTCTGTGAACTGTTTGTGTGTGGTAAATTGGTTATCACTACTAGCTGTATAATTTGTCTATCAAAAATTTGGTACTACTGATATCACATTAGGTTGCTTTCTTACAGCTTTACTTAGTGTTATATTGCTTGTTAGTACTTAGTACTAGCTGCTTACCATGCTACTTACTGCTTTAGCAATCTATTTATTGAGTCACTTGTCACTGCTAGCTAGCTACCTTTTTAGTTATGCAAATTTTGAATTAGATTGCTAGTTAATCTTAAGTCTGGTTACTTCAGAGCTTAAATAATTATAAATTCTCATACCTTTTTCAGGTGAAATGTCGACCAATACATCAGAGGGTTCAGGAACTCATGATAGTGAAGAGGGTCAAACATCTTTGACACCACGTCGTAAACGGTCCAATGTCTGGGAACATTTTGAGAAAGCCTTGGTTGATGTGGATGGTGAGCTAAAAGCTGTTTGCAAGTACTGTCAACTGAAATTGAGTACCAAGTTTGGTACTAGTAGTCTTAGAGGCCATGTTGCCAATTCTTGCCCATCAATTGAGAGTGATACCAGAAAGAGATTTCAAGCAAGCATGAGCAAACAACCATTAGATGCAAATTTTGTCTTTGATCCCCACCTCTGTCGTCTGTTGGAGGTACAGAGTGTTTTTACTCAGCCAGGGATTACACACCCAGGCGACTGCTCTTTCATATATAGGAGATAAGTAGCACATTGATTACATTGATGGCTCATTAGAGCATTAACTAAACAGCTAACTGCCTGGGTACTTGCACAGTCACTTGTGCTGCCCAAGGCCTTAATAGCAGAAACATAATTAAGCACAGATAACTAAGTGATAACTGGGAGCAGGACTTAACTTCTACATCGTCAAGAGATCAAGTATTTAATTCATGCTGAGATTCCATTTCTGGAATTCGAAGACCCGTACTTGCAGCCATGGATTAACACAATGCAACCAACTTTCATAGTCAAGGGTCAACCACAACAAACAATCCACAATGATTCCTTCCAGAAATTTGAGGAGCTAAAGAAAGAGCTTTATACTGAACTTCAGAATTTGGATTCTCGTGTTTGCTTGACATCAGATATATGGACATCATCGCAGAACGTAGAATACATGGCTGTAACAGCTCACTACATTGATGCAGAATTTAAGATCAAGAAAAAGATCATTTGGTTTAAAAAACTAGAGTATCCTCACTCCGGCATTGCAATTGAAGAAGTAGTGAGGTGCCTGACAGAATGGGATATAATGGATAAATTGTTTACTTTGACATTAGATAATGCAAGCAATAACACTTCGGCATGTGAGAAGTTGATAACAAATCATAAACATGAGTTATTGTTTGATGGTGAACATCTACATGTTAGATGTTCTGCTCATATTCTCAACATCTTGGTTCAGGATGGGATGACAGTGATCCATACAACAATACAAAAGATCCGTGAGCTGCTGAAGCATATTGATTCTTCTGTCTCAAGACTTCAAGCGTTCAATTCGCTTGCAAATGGGATGGGTTTAGCCTCAAAGTCCGCTATCTACCTTGACATCCCAAACCGATGGAACTCAACCTTCAAAATGCTTAGGGAATCATTAAAATACAAAGCTGTCCTTATTTCCTATGCTCCTAGATATCTTGAAGTTTTACCTACTGAGGAAGAGTGGGCAAAGGCAGCAGCAATTTGTGAATTTCTCAAGGTATTTGAAGAACTTACACTCGCTGTGTCAGCTCATAGGAAGCCTACATCACATAAGATTTTGCCCTTAGTGCTTTCCATCCTCTATGCCTTGAAGGACCCAGCTTGGCAAAGTACCGATCTGCTCAAGGAGTTGGCTGCTTCCATGCATTCCAAGTTTGAGAAATATTGGAATCCTGATGAAGATAACCTGCACAATGTAGTTAAAAAAAAGAGAAAGAAGAAAGAGATTGCATTTAACCTTGTCTTAGTCATTGCCACTATATTAGATCCAAGAAGGAAGGCTGACTACTTAGATTTCTTCTTTCAGAAGGTGTGCAATAATACAAATCAGATTGATATGCATGTGAAGCATGCCTTAGAGTGGATGAGAAAGTACTTCACATTGTATGAGCAACGATGTGCAAGGAAAAGTAGTGTGGATATGATGGCGCCTGCTAATGAAGCCTTTGTTAATGAGGGGTCACTGATTCTTGGAAAAAGAAATCTTGAAGAAGAATTTGCTCAATACAAATCACGACGAAGAGTTGCACGGGCACCGAAATTTGAAATTGATGCATATTTAGAAGAAGAGATCGAGGAGGATAATGAGGATTTTGATATCCTAGCTTGGTGGAAGGGAAAATCAGACAAATTTCCTGTACTGTCAACTATGGTTCGAGACTTTCTTTCTATTCCCCTTAGCACTGTTTCGTCCGAATCTGCTTTTAGTCTTGGAGGAAGAATTCTTGGAGACCATAGAAGCTCACTAACGCCGGAAATGCTCGAGGCACTTGTTTGTGGGAAAGATTGGCTATTCAAGACCAAAGATCGCACTAGTGAAGGTACAAAGGTTTTTCTTTAAACAAATGTTCTGTTTTTTCATTTCTGGTAAACAAAGGTCTTTAAACAAAATTTTATTTTTTAGGTCAAGATCTAGAACCCGAAGAGGGCTAGCAGTAGCAGGTATGTTGATTGCCTTCTCAAATGCCCAGTGTTGGAAAACTTTGCAAGTGATGATTTACGTGTGCATGGTAGCATTTCGAAGTTTTCTAGATTCTTAAAGATTCAAGCTTTGTTTGCATTGCACCAATCCTGGTGCTGCTTGTGTCACTAATAGATTACACTACATACATGTCTTTATGATGTAGAGTTATAGACTGAGTAATGCCCAACTGCAAGGCTGTTTAGAAGTCCAGCAGCTGTTGCTGTTACAGCATTGTTGCTGCTGCTTCATGATATTCATTAGGACCTGTTTGGATCAGCTAGGGCTAGTTACTAGTTGGGGCTAAAAATTAGCCCAAATTAGCTGGAGTTGGCTAAAAAATTAGCCCAACTATTAGCCTCCTGTTTGGATGGGCAAGGGCTAATTTTTAGATAGCTAACAATTAGCCCTTGGTATCCAAACAGGCCCTTAGCTTTAATAAAAGAAATGTTAATAGGACATATTAGACCTTTTTCTCCTTTCAGCAAAGAAACTCCTTAGCCTCTGTCAAGTGCACATCATGGTGGCACCGGGTTTTTCTGCATGGGATCAAAGTGATGCGTTTGAACCAGAGAAATGAACCGCTCCACATGCATGTCAAGTGCACACTACTTTAGTTCGTTTCTTCCTTACACATTCACATGGCTCAGACCCTGTCATTGATCCACTTCTTCTCTTTACCTGGAATATATAGCTCTTGTGGTTTCAATAGTTGGATTACCAGGGTTAGGGGCATGCTAATGAGCTGTGTTTTTTTTTCTGCCGCCTGATCAAATCAGGCAGTCAATTAGTCCTTGCATTCTCAGTTGCATGCATGTGTGGACTGATGTGTGTGTGTGTGTGTGTGTGTGTGTGTGTGCGTGTGTTAACCCTTTCAAACTCTTTGGTTTTACCGTTCTGGAAAAAAAGTTCAATCATATGCTTTCTAGAATCCCTTTTTTTAGATTGATTGGTTTAAGCAGTGAAGCTTGACCTCTGGCACTGACTTGTTAGAACTGTGGCTATGCGAAATTTGGCAATGGATCTTGTAAAAGATTTGTGATGGGCACCGTGTAATTTGGTAATTTATTAACAGTCAACAGAGACGAGATTTCCTGTAGTTTAGTTATAAAAGAAATAGCTGACAAACTACCTCTTAGAACTACATGCAACCAACTGAAAAAAAAAATGCAATGGCCAAATGTGGCAGTTGTATGTTTGTGTTTTCAACATTTGTTGTTTCCATCCTAGCATGTTTCGTGATCATGGAGATTAAGAGATGGAAGATGAAGTATTTTTTTTAATAAAAAACGGTGGTGAAATACTTAAAATTTTTGTATAATAAAGGCTAAATATCGTGAAGACTTAAAATTTCTGTAATATGGAGTCTAAACAATATGTGATTTTTCTCTTTTGTTAAATGCCTAGTCTAGTTCATAAACTAAATTATTTTATGGTTTTAAGTTCTGTAATTCTTCTGGTCCTTTCAATTTTTTGTTCATTTTATGATTTGCTAAACTTTCCTTATGTTAAAAATGCTACATAGCAAAGAGAGGACAGACCTACTCACTAACAACTAGCGAGGAACAGGGGCATAGAAACCAAGGTAACAGCACGAGCATTGAAACCAAGGTTAGATCCCAAGGTTTTGAAATGGCTTGAGACTGCTTAGAGGAGAATGTGTTCGTTTGGTTTGGGGCCCAGGGAAGGTTTGGATTGGTTTGGTATAAAGAGGTGGGCCAGCGGGTGGATTGGGTTGGCTAGCTGGTCTTTGATGTAATGGTTTGGTGTGGGTGTGGTCCAGATTTTGGCCCATTAGCAGGTTTAGGTGCTATGCTTCATTCAAAAATAAATGTTGGTTTCTGTATGTTTCACGTGTCTCTCAGCTCTCCTCTCTTTTACACTTCAGATATGTATTTTGTTGAGTTCAAAGAATCAAAATGAGACCCTTGTCAGTTGACATCCTTTTTTTTCTTGGTTTTCTAGGAGAATGTCGTCGAATCCAGACGAAACCTAAGAGTCGTGCTTGGACAGACTGTTTACTGAACAATGAATTTGAGGTTCAGAAGTCCTGGGATGAAAACAATGTTTTTGAGGCTGATGCTGGAAGTGAGCCTCCAGGTCCCGGAGAAAATTTCTTCTGGAACTTTCCATACCCTTACATGAATGGCTTGCTGCATCTCGGCCATGCCTTCTTGTTGTCCAAGCTTGAGTTCGGTGCTGCATACCACAGGCTCCGTGGCTCCAATGCCATTTTGCCCTTTGCTTTCCACTGCACTGGAATGCCCATCAAGGCCTCAGCTGCTAAGCTTGCCAGGGAGATCCAACAATTTGGAAATCTCCTGGTAGTGGCGCAGAACGGCAGGAGGGTTCTGGTGCCGCAGTGGCAGATGCTGTCCAGGCTGATGCTGTTGTGCCAGATAAATTTAAGAGCACAACTGCTGCAAAGGCTGGCGCACATAAGTATCAGTGGGAGCAAGGGCTGCTCTTAATCTTTCTTACCAATCAGCTTGTGTGAGCTATCTGGCTATGATTTGATTGGTTTGCCACTAAAATCTCCTCTTGTCTTCAATGAAGCCATATATACTCTTCCAATTCTCATTGTCTTGACAAGGTACTTGCATTGTGACTAGTGTTCCAAGTGATTCACCTAATGATTTCATGGCACTTCAAGATTTAGTCACAAAGCCAGGTTTGAGGGCAAAATATGGCGTGAAATACAAGTGGGTTCTTCCATATGAGATTGTACCAATAATCCACATTCCATATGAGATTGTACCAATGAATGACATATCTGAAGGGATGTACTGATGGAACAATGATTGTAGGTGAGTTCAGTGATAGAAAGGTTCAAGAAGTGAAACCCCTGATTAAAATAAGCTTTTCGATGAAGGCATAGCCGTGTTGTATAGTGAGCCAGAGAAGGTCATGTCTAGATCTTGTGATAAGTGTGTTGTTGCCCTCACTGATCAGTGGTACATAACTTACGGTGAGGCTGAATGGAAGCATGAAGCAGTCAGGTGTTTAGACAACATGAATACATTCTCAGCTGAAACCCGAAATGGTTTGGAGCACACATTGGGCTGGCTGAACCAGTGGGCATGTTCACGTTCTTTTGGCCTGTACTCGAATTCCATGGGATGAGCTGTTTCCTTGTAGACTCTCTTTCTTATTCAACCCTATACATGGCTTATTACACAGTTGTGCATCTTTTTGCAAAATGGCAACATGGGAGGGAAAAAAAATGTCTTCAATAAGGCCAGAAGAAGTTACAGATGATGTCTGGGATTTTGTGTTTTGTGATGGCCCAGCACCAAAAAGTGACATCCCTCCAGCTCTGTTGAGCAAAATGAAGCAAGAATTTCAGTATTGGTATCCATTTGATATTCAGGTGTCTGGGAAGGACCTTATTCAAAACCATCTGACATTCTGCATATACAATCACACAACAGTTCAAGATTTGCCTCGCCGTGATGGTATGGATGATGCAAACTTTGTCACTGAAACTGCAAATTCTGCTGTTATGAGGCTGACAAAAGAAATTTCATGGATTGAAGAGGTTACAGCTGCTGAATCTGAATTGAGAACTGGACCGCCCACTACATATGCTGACCATGTGTTTGCAAATGAGATGGGCATTGCAATCAAAGAAACTGAGAAGAGCTACAATGCTTTCATGTTCAGGGACGCCCTGAAATCTGGGTTTTATGACCTCCAATTGGCTAGAGATTACAGGCTCTCGTGTGGCGTAGCAGGCATGAACCATGATCTGTTGTGGCGGTTTATGGATGTCCAGACCAGGCTCATCACCCCCATTTGCCCACACTATGCTGCTGAGTACATGTGGAGAAAGATTATGAAGAAAGAAGGCTTTGTAATAAAAGCTGGCTGGCCAGTCGCAGACACCCCGGATCCTACTCTGCGAATTCCAAACAAATGCTTGCAGGATACCATAGTTTTGATGAGGAAGCTGCTTCAGAATCAAGAGTCTGGTTCCAAGAAGCCTAAGAAGGAGCTGTGCCTGCACCTCCATCAGGGGAAAAAAAAGAAGCATTGGCCTTATATATATGTCAACGAGTATTACTGTGGCTGGAAAGATCAGTGCTTGAGGGTGCTGCAGTCTAAATTGACAGCCAAACGCGCTCTCTGACCAGGGAATAGCAGAAGCTCTGATGAATTGTGCCATTGGGCAGGAAATGAAACTTGAAGCAAGTTCAGAAGCTCTGTATGCCCATCATCAATTTGAAGAAGGACGAAGCAAGGGAGGTTGGTCCTCAGGCACTGGATTTGAAGCTTCTGTTTGGTGAGATGGATGTTCTCGTGTGAACTTGGAGCTGATCAAGAGGCAGCTGGGGCTTGAGCAAGTCGAGGTGCTGTTACCATCTGATGAAGCCGCTCGCACTGAGGCTGCTGAGCATGTTTTGTTGCTGGAGAAGAAAACCCCCTCCCCTGGTGACCCGGTCGTCATTTTCCTCAGCAAATAGGAGTTTGAGGCTTAAAATTGAGCTTATGTTATTGCTAATTGGAACTTTCTCGTGCTATTCCTGTTTTTTTTTTTTTTTGCTGGACGTGTGAAAGTAATGCGTGCACTGAGCTACCTCTGTGTTTTGGCGAAAGCTAATTTTTGTAAGATATTGGTCCTCTAACGCAGCTGATGTGCTTTTGCTGTTAGCATTTTCAGAGAATACACACACTCGTTATTATTAAACTGTGAATGCAGCAGATTTGACGTTTTCTGCTACGCCGTTGATCTGCTGTCCTGTCTGGTACATCAGGTATATTTCTGATAGCCGTTGCATACACGGCATTCTGAAGTACGCTCATATGTATGGATGAAAACGATACGGATATTTTCCGACTGCATTCGAGTCCGAATCCGTTTAGAGGGGTTCAGATCTGTCCGTATCCGAGTTCGGATATTCAACATCTGATACCGTATCCGTATCCGAATACTCAAATCACATATTTATGATGTCGACATCTAATCGTATCATATCCGGCATAGCTGATACTATCCGTATTCGAATCCGAATCCGACTAGAAATGTAAAAACAAATATAATATCAGTGATATCCGTTCGTATCCGATCCGTTTTCATCCCTACTCATATGTATGCAAGTTAACGCCTCCTGTCCTATCACAAATTATGTGACCTTAGTCTGTCTAAAGTAAATAATTTCAGTTTTTTGTAATAAATTACGTTCTATGTGGTAGGTACAGAAAGTTGACATGTTATATGCTTCCTGGAGGAATGAATTTTTGGGTCTACTCCCTTAGTTACGTTGACGGGTTTTTTCTGCCCCAATCCAACTTAATCCTGGCTTATCCAAACGAAAAAAACAAGCATGCATGCATCCACTTTGCCAACTTTAGTTTGGTTTCACGGAAACAGCGCGCGTGAGCTCCACTTTATGCCCACTCAGAATTATTCAGACACGTACACGAGGTGTATGAACAATCGACAATGGCCAGTCTTTTTATAATCTGCTGCATAGTTAAGTACTTAAGTGGCCCTCGTGTCGCCGTGCCTCAAACAAAATGCATAGTTTATATAGTTTTGTACCAACAATATATATTTCCTCCACCATGGCCGGCCGGTCCATTGCTTGCTGCTCAATCTAGCTTTAGCTTTAGTTGGCCAGGAAAGAAGTATGAACATTACTACATGCATGTATAAGGCAGCTAGCTTTTGAAGCTTTCGGTGGATGCAATCATGAGTTTGAAACTAATCCCCCCTTCAACGAACATACATACGCGACGCGTCCTAACAACCCACCTCGCTTGGCACATGGTGAATTAGCTATTGTCGAAAGCTCCATTCCTTAACTACCATCATCGCTAGCTTTACCCAATTAATCAATGAGTAAAGTCCGCTGGCGGCCCTCAAACTTGTTCGATTATGTCATCCTGGCCTATAAACTTGCAAATCCTTCGCCTAGGCCCCCAAATTTGTTCATGTGTGTCATTGCAGTCGCTAAACTCGCAAATCGCACGTTTATGTCTTCAAACTGGTATGATTGTGTCATCCCAGTCCCTAAACTTGTACCTGTTTTCATCTTTGAACTTTCAGTTGTATCGTCCAGTCTCTAATCTCATAAATTGCCCGTTCAGATCCTCAATCTATGTTCGGGTCTTAGAGCCAGTCTAAACAGATCTAGATCTGTGCCCGTATGCAAGGACATCTCCACAAGTTCCATGGTTACCACCAGGGTTCAAAATTTCGGCGAAATTTCGGCCGAATTTCACGAAATTCGGTAATTTCGGTGGTGGCCGAAAGAAAACTCCGAAATTTTTTAATACACTAATACATGTGCTATATAACTCTAATCTTATATTTTTCTATTGTTTATATTGCATATTCTTCTATTTAATAGATATGTAGTCATAAATCATACTAATATTTGTTTAGATCCAATTTTTTTTAGAAAAAACATACTTCATGTGCTAATCTCTAAAAAAAATTCGGCGAAATTTCGGCCGAATTTCGCGAAATTCGGTAATTTCGGTGGTGGCCGAAATTTTGGCGATACCGAAATTAAAAACCTTGGTTACCACCCCCAAGCCTCCTGTCGTGCCGACCCTAGCTGTGTCGCTACCCAGCCCTAGCTATGTCTCCCAAGCCGTGTTGGTTTCGAGATGTGAGCTTACCAGAAAAGAGAGGGAGCTCAAGGTATAGAAAGGATGGAGAAGGGAGATGGAGCTGACATGTAGACCCCACATGTTAGCATACCACATCAGCGTACAGACACGAGTCTAGACCCGTTTAGTTTGGCTCTAAGATCCGCACATAGATTGACGATCTAAATGGGCAATTTGCAACTTATAGGGACCGTGATGACACAGCTAACCTAAATGAGTGATTTACATGTTTAGGGATGAGGATGGCACAACTGAACAAGTTCGAAGATCTAAACGGGCAATTTTTATGAGTTTAGGAACCAAGATGACATAGATAAATAAGTTTGAGCATCTAAATAGGCGATTTGCGAGTTTAGGGACTGAGATGACACAATCAAACAACTTCAATATAGCGAGGAATTTCAACATGAGTAAAATTTGCCTGCATCATGCATGAAACGTCATATATATTATTTGTAGTGGCGCATAAGAATCTTTCCCGCCATCTATATATCTCACCACTACGGAAGTACGGATAGCAGAACAATTGCCACGAGCCCACGAGCCCACGAGCATAAGTCCAAGTCCTAGCCACGGGCATGAAGAGCGAGATGCCGGCAATGCTGCTTGCCCTGCTCATCGCCGCACTCCTCTCGCCACGGCAGCCGCTGGTGGCCGCCGCGGGGAAGTGCAGGGAGGAGTGCGGCAGCGTGAAGATCCCGTACCCCTTCGGCATCGGCCGTGGCTGCTACCTCGAGACGGCCGGCGACGGCGGCGGCGACGAGCCATTCAACGTCACCTGCAGCAACCGCGACGCCGAAGGCGCAATGCACCCAGAGCCCATCCCCATGGTCGACGGCGGCCTGCAGGTGCTCGACATCGACGTGGCCGGCGGGAGGATGCGAGCCTACACCAGGGTGAGCTCGTGGTGCCGCAACGCCACGTCGCCGTCCACGGTCGACGACAACAGCTGGGTGTACGAGTCGGCGAGGTTCCGCGTCTCCAGCACGGAGAACGTGCTCACCGTCGTCGGCTGCGGCGTGCTGGCCTACATCGGCACGCAGGACCGCGGCGTCGAGAACCGCTACGTGGTGGGGTGCAATTCCTCGTGCCCGCACGGACCAGTGCGGCCGTCGTCGTCGATGGCTGCCGGTGGCGGCGGCGCCGCCTCCTGCGACGGCACGGACGGCTGCTGCCAGACGACGATCCAGCGGGGGATAAGGTCCTTTGTCCCTAGCTTCGTCGCCGACGGTGAGGACAGACCAGACGGCTCCGGCTCCGGCGGCAGCCCGTGCAGATACGCCTTTCTGGTGGAGAGGGAAAAGTTCAAGTTCCGGACGTCCTACGTCACCAATAGGGAGCTTGCCGGTGCTGCTGGTAAGCGATTGCCGCTGGTGCTCGACTGGGCAGTGGGCAACAAGAGTTGCCTGGTGGCACAGAAAGACAACGCGACCTATGCCTGCCTCAGCGACAACCACGAGTGTGTCAACTCCACCAACGGCCCAGGGTATCTATGCAAGTGCAAAACTGGGTACCGAGGAAACCCTTACCGCAAGAATGGCTGCGAATGTGAGTTCTCTCTCTTCCTCCTCCTCCCGCTCGTCGTCGTCATCTTGTTATTGTTGTTGTTGCTATTATTAATTATTATTATTGTTGTTGTTGTTATTGTTATATATTTAATTTAATAGTTTCGTCGTTGCTACAACAATAACTGGTTAAATGCTCCTAGGCTTGTATGAGATGCTTGTGTGATATATAGCGATCCTTTGTAATAAGTCTAGACATTCCACATATACTGGGTCTAAGATTCAAATGAAAAAAAAATTAGGACCTAACCGAAATAGGTGAATCTTAGATATCTCGATAATTTTGAACTAGGATTCACTTGTTTTGACTAGTCAAAATGTTCAGATTAATTAGCTAAAATTTGATCAAGTGGCACATAGATTATTATAGCTTGATAAGTTTGCACTTTCATATTAAAGGACGAACTTGTGGATTTGTTTAAACTCTGGACTAGACTTAAAGTTCAAATTTGGCCAAAATTTTTTTACAGGTATGTTGTTCGGGCCTCATTGAGATGAGTGAACTTTGTTGAAATTTGGCCATTTTGATTGAATCCAAGAATTTGATATGTAGTCGAAATAGGTCATATAATTATATATTTTTGATAAAATATTAAGTTGGTGGCTTATTTTGTAATTATAGTAAGCTTCTTGAGATATTCTGCATATTTTAGAGCTCGTTTGGAACGCAAAAAATTCATAGGAATCATGTAAGATATTACAGGAATTAGTAAGATTTCACTGAAAAAACACAGAAACACGAATAATTTTCCGCGTTCCAAACAACCCCTTAGAAGTTTATGTGATGCCAGATGTCTCACAAGAATGATCCGTCCTGCAGTTATTGACACGTGCAAGGAGATGAATCCATGCCCTGCCTCTGCTAAATGTGTCAACAGGGGAGGAGGCCACAAATGCTCGTGCCCTCGTGGCAGGCGACCAAAAGCTGACGGTAGTGGTGGATGCGAGATAGATTACTCCATGCCTGCAATCGGTATGCAATCTTCATTCCTTTTCATTTTTCTACCTCTTCGTGTATCAGGCACTAGGACGCCACAGACACTGTTTTCGATGAAAGTTCTACGGATTAAAATGTACTTCCTCATGTTCCTAAAAGATATCGTTTTGGACATTGACACGGTTTTCAAAGCATAACTTTGACTTTTTATTTTATAAAATATTTATTGAAAAGTTATATATGTATATTTTTTGGAGTGTATTTCAAGACAAATCTATTCATATGGTTTTCATATTTCAAACTCAATAATTTAAAAAGTTATTCATGATTTATATTTCCAACCCAAGCCTTATCCAAAACGATATCTTTTAGGAAACTGGAGGGAGTAAATTTCTTTGTATGTTAATAATGTACTCACATAAACTTATAGATTTCTTAGATATGCTCCGTTTCATCGACAGAACAAACCTTCGTTTTCAGCCTAAGTAATAACTTCTTCCTTAGAGTTTGTTTGGTTAGTCTTGAATCCAATTATTCCCTCAGATCAGAAACTGACCGAACAATCCTTGAGTTTGTGTGCTAACATATATATGGCAAGATAGTCATTTTAGTCCCTCAACTATCATCAGAGGTTTAATTTGACTCTTGAACTTTCAAAATTACCATTTCAGTCCTCAAACTTTACTTTTAGGTTTAGTTTCATCCTTAAATTACTAAAGTGATTGTTTCAGTGCTCAAACTCTGCATTTTGGGCTCAATTTCTTCTATGAACTATGAAAGTTCAGGGACAAGAATGAAATGCACGTACTTGCTTGATAGTTCATCGATGAAATTGATCCTAAAGTGCAAAGTTTGAGGACTAAAACATTTACTTTGGTAGTCCTAGATTGAAATTGAGCCTAAAGTAACGATTGAGGACTGAAATGGCTAATTTAAAAGTTTAAGGATGAAATTAAACCTTGGATGATAGTTAGAGCATCTTTAGCAGTTTGATATAGTTTACTTGCTAAACTAATAGATCTAGCAAGTTAACAGAAGAAATATCAACATTAATTTTTGTCTTTCTCCAATACTCTCCTATAATAACTTTATATAATTTTTCATTGAGAACCCTAAACTATTTCTAACCAGCCAAACCTCTTTTAATAGTTTTTTTTTGTCTCTTATCGTTTTCTCACCTCCCTTTATTTTCTTAATTTACTCATGCGTCCAATTTACTCTGATCTCCCGAGAAAAAGGTCAGATAAGGAGTGGATACGTGGTTCTTCTCGACCCGGGAAACTTACGAGTTGACGAGGATATTTAGCAACTTTTTATTTACAGGAAACTCTTTTACCAAACTACGGGAGGAGATTCTTTTATTTTTTGCTAAAATATTAAAGTAGGGAGTTGTTTTACAAAACTCCTTAAGCGTAAAAGTAAGTTTGGCATGGCTTCACTTCACCAGTGAAGCAATTATTTTTGGCTTCAGCTCCATGAACATCTCCATCGATAGAGTTAGAGCCGTTTTGGTAAATCGTTTGGCAAACAACTCCACATGTAGAGCTCCTTAAAATATGCTCTCATAGAATCCATGTAGGGCTCACTAGGACAAGTTGAAGCCGGGTAAAACCACCATTTTGGCTCCATCCTCCATATATTCTTTGTGAAAGCACAATTTAAGAGGCTCTTAGGTGAAACCGTTTAATTTGATTTTATCCTATTTGGCATAAAATGGCTCCGGCTTTAGGAGCCGGTGAAGCCGTGACTAAGAGAACCTAAGATACTCTTAAGGGACCAAAATAACTATTCCGCTTATATATACAGTTGTGTTACATTTGTCTTTTTTTTTTTTTGCGATTAGTTGTGTTACATTTGTGTGTAACCATATATTTCCACACTACAGGTAGCAGCGTTGGTGTGGTTGTGCTAGCTGTGGTGTTGTCTTGCACCTACGCGGTCCAAGAGAAGAAGCGGCTCGCCGCCATCAAGAAGAGATACTTCCGGCAGCATGGCGGTCTCCTCCTGTTCGAGGAGATGAAGCAATCACGGCAGGGGCAGGGTTCTTCGCCCTTCACGCTCTTCACCGAGAAGGAGCTGGAGCAGGCGACCGACAGATTCAACGAGCGGCACGTCCTGGGCAAGGGAGGCAACGGCACCGTGTACCGGGGCGACCTCAGGGACGGGAGGGCCGTGGCGATCAAGCGGTGCCGGGTCGCCGAGGATGAGCGGCAGCGACGGGAGTTCGGCAAGGAGGTGCTCATCCTGTCGCAGGTGAACCACCGCAACATCGTCAAGCTCTACGGCTGCTGCCTGGAGGTGGCGGTGCCCATGCTGGTGTACCAGTTCATCCCCAACGGCACCCTGTGCGAGCTCCTCCACGGGCACGGCGGCGGCGGTGACCGTGCCCGCGTCTCGCCGTCGTTCGCGATCCGGCTGAAGATCGCGCACGAGGCCGCGGAGGCGTTGGCGTACCTGCACTCGACGGCGTCGCCGCCGATCATCCACGGCGACGTCAAGTCCGCCAACATCCTGCTCGACGAGAACTACAACGTCAAGGTGTCGGACTTCGGCGCGTCGGTGCTGGCGCCGTCCGACGAGGCGCACCTGGTGACGCTGGTGCAGGGCACGTGCGGGTACCTTGACCCGGAGTACATGCAGACGTGCCGGCTGACGGACCGGAGCGACGTGTACAGCTTCGGCGTCGTCCTCCTGGAGCTGCTCACGCGCAGGAAGGCGCTGGCCCTGGCGGCGCCCGTGGAGGAGGAGCGCAGCCTCGCGGCGCACTTCCTCTCCTCCGTGAGGGACGGCAGGCTCGACGCGCTCCTGGACGCGGGGATCAGGGGCGAGGTCGGCGGCGAGTTGCTCGGGATGGTTGCCGCGCTCGCCAAGCGGTGCCTGGAGATGTCCGGCGAGAAGAGGCCCCCCATGCGCGAGGTCGCGGAGGAGATTGGCAGGGTAACGAAGCTGTGGCGGCAGATATGTTTCGGTGAAGTCGCTGTGCTTGTAAGTGATAGGTGAAAAGCATACGTGGAGCTTGGAGTAGTTTAGTAGGTCACCCAACTTTGCACTGCTCAAAGTGAGATGAGATGGCCGATGAGCTACTTGTTACTTGCAGTGCTAGGAATATAGGTTTGACGCGACAAATGAAACATGTTGGTTATGACTGCTAATGACACAAGAAGTTGTATTGATCCGCGATAATTTTGTATCAGGTTACAATTAAGTGATTAACCGGTGCGTTCTGTACAAGTTACAGGAAAGAGAAAGGAACGTGCACGTTTCATGCTAGTACTCTCGATCGGTACCATGCCTCCAAGGACGTCTAGTACTCGTCGTGGCGGCGGCCGATGGCGAGCGCCCTGACGAAGCAGGCGGACGCGCCGACAGCGAGCCCCGCGAACGCCGGCGGCACGAGCAGGTCGATACCGGAGCGCCCGGCCATCCGCGCCGGCACGCAGACGTGGTCCCCTCCGCCGTCGAGCGGCACGCGCACCGCCCCGGCCGCGCACGCCGCCCTGCCGCCGCCGCCTCCCGCGAGCGCCCACACGAAGGCCGCCTCCGGCGCGAACGACGCGACGGACACGGCGAGCGCGAGCGCCCCCGCCCATGCCGCCGCGTGCCGCAGCGCCGGCGCCCAGTGCTGCCGCTCCCCCACGAGCGCCTCCACCAGCGGGTGCATCGTCGATCGTCGTTTCGCCTCGATTGGCCGGCGCCTTGCTGCTGGATCGATCCTGGCCGGCGGTGCGGTTATATGGCTGTGGTGTGGAGTGGAGAGAGCGGAGGTCAAGTGGGTGCGCGCCGCGCGTCGTTTCGAGGTGGAGTACGTGGAGGGGCACCGACCGAGTATTAGGTGAGCTAAGCCGGGAAGTTTTGTGATTTGGGAACCCGGCTTGGAGTTGGAGGGCTGGCTGCTGCCCCGTTGAATTTCTTGGGGCTTGGTTGGGGCACGAGGGTGACCTGTGTGGGTACTGCGTAGAGCAATTTGACAATTGACACAGTATCTACCTGTTTGTAGTATCAACATTTCGGTTGTCGAGACGCCTACGTTTATGCATTGCAGGAGCGTGATGGTGGGGCAAACCGATCGACGAGGACATGTCCTGCGAGTTTGATGACTTCAACAGTGATGTGTGGGAAGAGAGATGATCATGGAACCTATGGGTGTAACCCAATTCATCCAACCCATGTAATAATAATCTATACCTGTGTTTCGATAGAGGGACCAACTACGTTAGAGTAGGTTGGACCTAGTTTCTTGAGTGCTTGGTAAGCCAGGCGTTCGGGTTACCTGATTTTTTCGGATCGAGTAATTTGGGTAATACAAAATTCGGGTAATGAAAAATGATACCCGATATTAGTTCTGAAAAAATACTATACGTAATTTCGGGTACCCGATAATTCAGGTTCGGGTTCGGGTATACCTGATATACCCACAATTCCTGAAGTTGTGTGTACCTGTGCGCTCCTCCATGGCCCTCGATCTACAGGTGCGGTGGTGCCGGTGGCGGAAGGAGGGCTAGATGCGTGCGCCGCCCAGCTGCTTATGGAGCAACGCTACTAGCCTGCAGCCTAGGTCGCTGGTAGATCGAGCTCCGTGACCGCCTGGGAGGTCGCCGTCACAGGCTGGACCGCTAGAGCTTGTAGATCTCGTGGAGGAGTCTAGGGCACCGCTCGAGGCCAGAGTCGCGCCGTAGCCTGTCGGAGTCGACGCTAGGTTTCGCGACTTCGCATCCTCCCTGAAAGCTCTAGTTTGGTTTTGGTGAATTGATGAAACCCTAAGTGCTAACCTAATTTATCAAAGTGATCATGAGATAGGTAGCACATTCCAAGCGGTGAAACAAATGAAGATCATAACATGATGATGGTGATGCCATAGTGATGATCAAGTGCTTGCACTTGAAAAGAAGAAAGAGAAAAACAAAAGGCTCAAGGCAAATATATAAGTGGTAGGAGCCATTTTGTTTCGGTGATCAAGACACTTAGCTAGTATGATCACATTTAGGTTCAATAGCCGTACTATTAAAAGGGATGAAACTCGTATCGAAATGCGGTTATTAAAGTGCCACTAGATGCTCTAACTCATTGCATATGCATTTAGGATCTAGTGGAGTGCTAACACCCTTAAAAATGTTTTGTGAAAATATGCTAACACACATGCACAAAGGTGATACACATTGTGTTTAGCACTTGGGAACAAGGGTTTGAAACTCCATCGGCGGAGTGTCCACTCGTAGAGTGCGGACAGTCCGACGGTGACACCGGCACCCTAGACAGAAAAGACAAGTCTTCACAGAGTGCACCGGACGCTGGCATCTACTGGACCGGACCGTCCGGTCAGTAGAAGCTTGAAGACGCTAGCGTCGGTCTTCGACCGGACGCTAGGTCACTTAGTGACCGGATGCTGGAGGGGTGCATCCGGTCCTGCTGATGTAGCGGCGCACAGAGGAGACGTTGAGTGACCGGACACTGGGTGCGTCCGGTCGGGCATGACCGGACGCGTCCGGTCGTGATTTTTCACGAATGGACCCTTATTGGAAACAACCGGACGCTGGGGTCTTGCGTCCGGTCACTTTGAGCAGTGCGTCCGGTCACAACTTAAATGTATTGATGACCGTTGAGATCGGGCAATCAGCGTTTGAAGCTAGGGCCATGTGGCATGCATCGCGCGACCGGGCGCTGGGGTCCAGCGTCCGGTCGATCTGACCGCCACGTCCGGTCGCCCTATTTTTCAGTGGACTGAGGAGCCAACGACTCTATTTCGTGGGGGCTTCTATTTAATCCCCATAGACGGCTCAAGCTCACTCTCTTGACCATTTGTATTGACATAGCAACCTTGTGCGCTTAGCAAAAGCCCTCCCACTCATCTCCATCATTAATTCATCATCTTTGTGAGATTGAAAGAGAATCCAAGTGCATTGCTTGAGTGATTGCATTTAGAGACACTTGGTGTTCGTGTTTCACTGTGGGTTTCACTTGTTATTCTTGGTGGTTGCCGCCACCTAGACGGTTTGGAGCAGCGAGGATCATTGAGCGGAGGTTGGTGATTGTCTCCGGCTCCGATCGTGGTGATTGTGAGGGGTCATGTACCTTCCCCGGTGGAGCGTCAAAAGGTAACTCTAGTGGATTGCTTATGTCATTGAGTTACCTTACTTATGGGTAGGTTCTTGCGGTGTCCAATTGTGTGGACGAGGTTCGTGCAACACCTCTTAGCCGCCGAACCACCAAGTGTTGGTCGACACAACGGGGACTAGCGTGCCGGCAAGCACGTGAACCTCAGGAGAAAAATTGGTTGTCTCTTGCCCTTTGGTATTCTCCCGGTGATTGATTTAATATTCATCATGTGATTGGTTCACTCCTCTACTCGGCGGTATAATCACCCTACTCACTTATTTATATTCTTGCAAACTAGTTGGAGCAAGCTCTTTAGTGTAATTAGAATTGAGAGCTTGTTTTGTTGTTTTAAGTTCATCTAGTGGAGCTCTTTAGTGTAGCAAGTGTGAGAGCTCTTAGTGAGTAGTAACATAGCAAATTGTGTGTCTAGTGATCATAGCAACTTGAATTGTTGGATAGGTGGCTTGCAACCCTTGTAGAGCTAGAGCAAGTTTGCATTTTCGTTATTTGTTATACTAATCAAATTGCTCTAATCGGTTTGTACATTTTTAATAGGCTATTCACCCCCTCTAGCCATATTAGGACCTTTCACTCCCGTCCCATCAAATCGAGGTCGAGGACTCAAGGTCTCTTGGAGAGTCATGGTGGGGGATGGCGCTTCGTCTTGGGGTCTCCTTTCCTGTTGGGCATAAGAGGTGGACAAGTTGGAGGCTGATGGGCGTTCACTTAGATATCGCTATCGGGTGTATGGGTAATTCGGGAACTACAACTTGTTACCCGATTACCCAAATTAATTGTTGGTATCTCAAGTTAATATCCTAACTACCCAAATTTATTTTGGGTTCGTAAATCGGGTTCGAGTTCTGGTAATGGGTATCGGGTATTTTGCCCAGACTTAGTGCTTGGTTGGAGATCTAGGTCAAACCCAGATTGAATATTCTAGGTTCCTCGGTACCACAAAGTCGGGTGACAGGGTCAACCCACATCAAGCCGCACACTATCTCCTTTGAGTCGACTCCAAGGCGGTGCAAGGAGGCGGACCACAGGCCAAGCTTAGTGCCGCCGCCGCCCACTGCTCCCTATGACCGATCGACTCCCAAGTGGCTGCCTGTCCTCCCTCCGGCTGCCCTCTCTCTCTTGCACTTCTTCTTCCTCCGCGATCAGCCTGTTTGCTTGAGTTAGTTTCTAGGTCGATAAGCACCCATTGGTCTTTGGTTGGTTGTGAGAGGAAAATACATTGGTATCTGATAAGCCCTGGTTGAAACCAATAAGCGAACAAGCTAGATTTCTCCTCTCTCTGCCTCTCCTTCCTTCAACCGGGTGCAGGTCTAGCATGGGTCAATGCCGTAGCTGCGTAGCTTCGACGGAGCTTGGCCCGTGGCGGCGCTGGTCGAGCTTGGCCGACAAGATTGAGGAGCAGTGAGGAGCGGGAGGTAGAAGAAGACATACGAGAGGCTGATACATAGGCCACACAAGCCAGTGCCTCATCCCACTTCTACAAAAGCTAGCCTCCAAACCAAACGTAAAACTGGAACATACTGTTTTGAGTTAATGAAATTGCTGTGTTCTTAAAAGGAAGAAAGATTTATTGGGCCTAGCATTTGCCACTCTCTCAGTCTCTCTATAAAGACTAACGCCGTTTTAAATGGAAGAGTATCGTGCCGTCGCCGCGGAATAATACTGCTCGTCCTGGAGCAACTGGTGGAGGTTGATGGGCTCCGCTTCTCTGGTTGTCCCGTAGAAGAAGGCTCGGACGGCCCGGCGGTAGGCGGCCTGCGTCCCGTGCACCGTGTCCCAGAACAGGTACTCGTCACGGTCGGCGCACAGGTTTGTGTCCACCGAGCACTCCACCTCACCGTTGAACCTGCCGCTGCCACAGCACGCCGTCTTCACCTCACGCAGCCCTGCTAGCCATAGATAGATCAGTCCAACCAACTAACGCTTAGCACGCAGAAAAATTAAGTTGAGTGTGTTATGATCACTAATAAAACCTTATTAATTAAAATAAAAACGTTGGTGCTTACCGGCGAGAGTTGGGTTGGCGATCATGTCGGTGAGCACGTTGTAGAGGCTGGCGATGGAGTACCTCATCGCGGGCACGGAGGTGGTGACGGCTTTCGCCATCTCCACCCGGAGGAGGGAGTTGAAGAGCTCCGACAGGTAGTTCCCGTCGCCGTCGCACTCTCCGTCCGCCGTGGTGGCGCGCTGGCTCGGCAGGCATCCGACGGGTAGGACGCCGAGCAGGACCAGCCTCCGAGCTCCTAGCTTGTATAGTTCCTGCACGTGCATGCCACCATTAGAAACTACGTACCTACCATGTCCAGTCGTATGTACGATGATTAGTAAACGGCGATCTACACACGATGCAAGTACGACGTACGTTGATGTAGTTGAGGTAATCGGCGACCATGCCGGCCATGAACTCCGGCGCCCGGCTCAGGGGGACGCCGCCGGGGTCGACGAAGGCACCGAAGTCGTTGCCGCCGGTGCTGATGACGAACAGGGACCGGCCCAGCAGGCCGTCCAGGCCCTCGCGGCCCACAAGGCCGGCCCGGAGGATCGCCGCCTTGGTCTTGGCGAACAGCGCAACCTGTTCACGCAGGGTGATCGTCCCGTTCCCCTGCATCCATTACATTACATACACATATTTTTTTTTGGCAGATTTGCTACTGGATACTCTATAGCTTGATTTTGCTTACGTACAGTGACGTCGAGGATGCCGGAGCCGCCGGAGGCGTAGTTGGTGCCGACTCGACCTCGAAGCAGATCGAGCCATGACAATGGCGTCAGCGAGAGGTAGGCGCGTGGGCTCCTCCTGAATCCCACATGTTGTGCTGTACAAGTAATAACAGGCGATGGTGTCATCAGAGAAAAAAAAAAGAAATACAAGAAGAACCAATTGTGTTGTGGTTATGCCAACTTCAGCTTGTGCAGGCAACCACCAACTAATGAGTAATGACTCCTGCAATTGTTGAAATTTAGACTCAATTTGATTTGACACGTTATTTAAATTAAGACATTGATATCCTAACTGCATTGGTGCTGCTGCCGTTGGGGCCGGCCGGTGATCAGTCACTGGCGCCGACGACGACCTCATATTGGCGCGCAAGCTCGGTTTGGCGAGAGGAGGAATCTAAGGGTGATCCTAACTCGGGAGACGCAGATCAGTAGTTTACCGATGATGTCGGCGAGGTTGTAGGCGTTGGTGAAGCGCCCCGTCCGCCACAGGATGGTGCGAGGGAGGTCGACGCCGTTGGGGGGCATCGCCTTGGGCGCTGGCGCCTGCAGGAAGTCGTTGTTGCCGGCGTCCACGAGCGAGTCGCCGAACACGTACATCGCCGGGACCACCACCTGCCCCCGGGTGGTGATGCTCATGCTCCCGGTGCTGGCGATGAGCTCGGCCTCATCACCGGTCGCCGTGGAGGATCCGGAGCAGACCGCCGCGGCGGCCAGGAGTACCAGCAGAGCGCTGGCGACGGCGGCCGTCGCCGAGCCTGCAGCAGCAGCTGGCCGAATGGCCGCCATGAACAGTGTGGGCTTAATCATTAAGCTGGGGGACAGACTAGTAGGTGTGTTTCGCAGAAGAGCAGACACTGTGTCGTGGGCTGCCGTGCAGCGCACAAGTGGTGAAGTAATGTTGGTGCACGGGTTTAGATATAGGAGCTAACTGATAGGAGCCTCCATTTTCCAAATGTGGAGCATGCGTGAACAGAGAGTTACACACTTACAGTACGTTTATACGTGTGGTCCGTTCGGTCTCTGGATTCAGAGTTACTCTCGTTGTTTCACTTGACAGGTTTAGATATATTCAGTAAATCTATTTCTCACCCCAGTGATTCTTGGCGTCCTTGTCACTCGATTTCGCTGCCGTCAGATCTGCCCTGTGACCGCTATGAACGGCAGCGATGGCGAAGTGCAGCAAGCGTCTGTGGGACGAGGGTGGTGCAAGTGCATGCATCTGCGATGACAGCAGGTGTGCAGGATGTCGCCTGCTACAGGTGCATGCTACAAGGCCGCTCACCTCGTGCTCCACGCCGCATGCATGCAGATTCACTTGAAAACTAAGCAGGACCACACGCTTTCCACTCTGAACCCATGCATGCAAATTTATTCATTACTTCCGTTTAGGTGTAAATTTTATGTTTAATTGCTGTATATTTATAATTCGCAAATGAGAATGGTGATTTGGATTACTTGAATACTTCAATAATCTTTTTCTGGCTCATTTTTGTTTGTCTGTATGATTTATTTGTGTTTCTTTGAAATCTTCCGATTTGGCTTCCATAGAAATTATCTGGTTAATTTTCTGCCTTTTTTTATTTGTTGTCTATATGTTTTATCTGTTTTTTCTTTGAATTTCCGCCAATTTGCATTCCATAGTAATTATTTGATAATTTTTTGTTATTTTATTATTTAATTTTATATTTATTTGATATATTTTATTTGCGTCGTTAGATCCGGCTGGGATGCGTCACCCGATTACTTTGTTGTTGGGATTCGAGTGTTTTAAGGTGACGTGACATCCGGTCGAGACATGTCCCCCAAACATCCGACCTGTGTATAGATAGACCCTAAAAATTAGCTAAGTTGGTGTTCGGATCCGGTGACTAAAATTTAGGAGGTGTATCAGGAGGATATTGCATGGGGTGTTCGGATAATAATAAAAAAACAAATTACATAATCCGTTAGCACTCCACGAGACGAATTTTTTAAGCCTAAGTAATCCATCATGAGCACATGATTACTGCAGCACCACATTATTAGATCATGGACTAATTAGGCTTAAAAGATTCGTCTCATAAATTAGTCGCAAACTATGTAATTGGTTTCGTAATTAATCTATATTTAATACTCTATGTATGTGTCAAACATTCGATGGGACAACGACTAAAATTTAGGAGGGGTAACCAAACACCACCTAAAATTAATCCTAGTGTATCAAAATAGGTGGGCTTAATAGGTAGGCTAATTGCTATGTGCTTTCGTTGAGGGACCATTTTTCATGTTTGATAAGCTATTAAAATAAATATTTATTCAAATATATACATGTTTACTTGACGAGGCCTATAATTGACAGGACCGGGCCTGCGCACAGGCCGTGCTGTCCCCACTCGCTACATGCACTCGCCACACTGGTTGCTGCCAGTCGGGCCCGAGCTGCACGGCCATCTTATTGCACCACGCATGTCACGCGTGCCCTGCCTGCCGCCACGGCCACTTGCACCGCCAGCCGGACCCACACCACATCTGTGCTACTGGTCGCCCTTAACGCTAGCTTTGTGCAAGGTACAAATGGGAGCTGGAGGGAGAAAGAAGAGAGAAGGGAAGGAGAGGACATGGTCTGACAAGTGGGGCCAGGGGCACTAGTTGTCATTTAGGAATCTTTCTCCCTTCTATTTAGCCAAATATTTTTATTTTAATGGATACAGTATCTCGCAGAACTTTGTCCCGAACAAGAGTATCCGTTAGACCGAAGGGAGTATTAGTTGATGCGTACTCCCTCCGTCCAGAAATAATTGCATTTTTAGAATTGGGCACACAAACCAATGCCAATGAAAAATGACAGAAATACCCCTATAAAACCGTAATATCTGCAGCAGTGTCCGGCTGGTGTTCAGGTGGCCCACGCGCTCCTGTGTAATAAAACAATAAAAAAACCTCACCGTGGAAGTTTCTGGAGCATCCCAGACGGCAAGACACCTGCCGCTCAGCGTTCCCCACCGCTCAGGGCCGCCGTCGCCGCCCACCCGTTGACGCCGCTGGGCGCTTGCTTCATTCGAGCCCAAACGATCCGTCGTGCCGCAACACGTCGTGATGCCATTGCTACGCGCGTGCTCGCACATCGCTCACGCTAGGTCGCCGTCGTGCTTCGCCGATCTTGCCGACAGACCATTCTTTGCTTGCACTCGACCTCCATCATTGGCGCCGCCATTGCGCTCACTCGATTCAGACGGGACGCCGCCGCTTGCACTCGACCTCCACACCGCCGCCGCCACTGCTTACTACTACGCCCACCACCGCCAGTGTATGCTCCAAGCCACGGCCCGCAGAGGGCACCGATTCATGATTATGGCGCAATCACCCAATGCGCCGCCCTCGCTATCACCGAAAAGCCTCCAGCGCCCGACGGCCACGGCCACCGGAAGTGGGGCTCGACCCTCCAGAGCTCCAGTGACCAGCCCTCTCCCGGATCCGGATTTTGCTCGCAGCTTCGATTGGGTATGGGGAGATGCGGAGGAAACAAGTGGAGGAGAGAGCCAGAGAGGGTTGCCACGTGTATTTTTTTTAATCGGGAGACTGATGCATTGTTGCATGCAATAGTACTAACGAGTACTCCCTCCGTCCAAAAATAATTGCATTTTTAGAATTGGGCACACAAACCAATGCCAATGGAAAATGACAGAAATACCCCTATAAAACCGTAATATCTCGCAGCGAAGCAGCAGCGCTGGTGTTCAGGTGGCCCACGCTCTCCTGTGTAATAAAACAATAAAAAAACCTCACCGTGGAAGTTTCTGGAGCATCCCAGACGGCAAGACACCTGCCGCTCAACGTTCCCCACCGCTCTGGGCCGCCGTCGCCGCCCACCCGTTGACGCCGCTGGGCGCTTGCTTCATTCGAGCCCAAACGATCCGCCGTCGCAACACGTCGTGATGCCATTGCTACGCTGCGTGCTCTGCACATCGCTTTCACGCTTAGGCCGCCGTCGTGCTTTCGCTCGATGCGCAGACCATTCTTTGCTTGCACTCGACCTCCACGCTGGTCGCCGCCCATCGCGCTCACTCGATTCGCGACAGATCACGCTGCCGCTTGCACTCGACCTCCACACCGGCCGCCGCCGCCACTACGCCTACTACGTCGGGCCACCGCCAGTGCATGCTCCAAGCCACGGCCCGCAGAGGCACCGATTGCGATTATGCGCAATCACCCAATGCGCCGCCTCGCTATCACCGAAAAGTGCCTCCCGCCGACGGCCATGGGCCACCGGAAGTGGGGCTCGACCCTCCAGCTCCACCACCAGCCCTCTGGATCCGGATTTTGCTCGCAGCTTCGATTGGGTATGGGGAGATGCGGGAGGAAACAAGTGGAGGAGAGAGCCAGAGAGGGTTGCCGCGTGTATTTTTTTAATCGGGAGACTGATGCATTGTTGCATGCAATAGTACTAACGAGTACATAAAATTCAAACCAGAGTGGGTTCCACAGAAACCTGACACCCTACCCTAGCTGGCTATGTGTGCAAATAATATGGGAAAAAAGTCAAACCGCAGACGTGCAAATAAAATTGGACGGAGGGAGTACATAAAATTCAAACCAGAGTGGGTTCCACAGAAACCTGACACCCTACCCTAGCTGGCTATGTGTGCAAATAATATGGGAAAAAATTCAAACCGTAAAATTGGACGGAGGGAGTACATCATCATAATATGAATAGCTAGCCCTACAAAAAGCTAGCAGAAAAAAAATGATCAGAATCCTCCTATTTTTATTGATTTGCTAAAACGACCGAAAGAAAGAAGTAGGCCTGTATCAACTCTTCTATGAAACATAAATAAAAGTAAATTGCGCGGCCGGTCCTTAAAGTATTAGACGGATTTTATCTGAGTCCCCAAACCACGAAATCGCACGTTTGGCTCCCTAATGTATTTAAGTGATCTTATCTAGGTCCAAATAAACACAAGGATGGTTAAAAGCTGACGTGGTCGTCCGTGTGGACGATTTAAGCACAAAACCCTAAGACGTGGCATGCGCGGCTAGGATCTTCCAGCCCAGTCATCACCAGGACGGCCCTGTCTTCCAGCTCCAGCTGCCGCCGGCCTGCGAGCTCACCAGGTGAGCACGGGGATGCGGGTCGTGCCGTCGTGTCGGGGGTAGGCGAGCGAGTGCATCGCCGTCGCGCCCGCCACCGGCCGCACGCAGGGCGAAGCGTGCAACCCAGCGGGCCGCGCCATCGCGCCGGGCAAAGCGACCACGGAGAAAGCGATGGCGGCTTCGGCCATTCGCTTCGCCGCTTTCTTTGCTACCATCGTGTCGTCGCCGCCGCCACGCCACCGCCTGCTGCTATTGCGTCATGCCGCCTCACCCCTCCCTGTGATCTCTCTCTCGCTCTAGCGCCCGAATCCACCGCCGCCCCGCCATTACCAATCACAGAGCCGAGCTCTCGATCTTCGTCACAGTTCACCTCCAGACTCGATTCCTCCTCTGTTGGGTTCATCGATGCACGACGAGGCCTCTACACCACTCCACGATGTCAATCCGAGCCGGCAACTCCACTCCCCGACCTCACCGGAGCTCCCAGACCGCCACCGTCCGCCCCACCGCCTTGATTCCCTTCCCCGTTGCCTCCCCGCCGTCGAGATCGCCGCAGACGACTTCGTCGTGGCCTCCTCTTCCTGCTCCGCCGCACGCCGGAGATCATCGTTTGCCGGAGTGCCATCCTGCCTCGACTCCGGCTATTTCTCCTCTCTCTCTGCCTCTCCTTCCTTCAACCGGGTGCAGGTCTAGCATGGGTCAATGCCGTAGCTGCG